ATAGACTTTACATTTTATTAGGGATTTTAGGTGATATAAAGTATATGGGAGGATATGTGTAGGTTATATGCAAATACTATACCCCTTCACATAAGGGACTTAAACATTTGTGAATTTGGGTATTTTCAGTGGGAAGAGGGTGGCCTTTAACAGCGTCTCCACATTTTATGGCCCAGAATGCAGACACAGAGTAAATTAAGTAAATAGCCTGAGATCACACAGCTAACTGAAAGAAGCAGGATTTGAATTAAGGTCTGACCAACTTCAAAGAATGGACACTTAGCCACTGTCCCCTGGTTTCCCATGATCTAGCTACTCTGCCATGGTGATAGAATTTAAGTGTTCAGATGTGAGGAGTAGTTAGTCTTAGGGTTCATAACTATTGAAGGCATTTGTGGGAAGAAAATTAATATGGGCCTTACTTTTTAGGCCTCTGGCATCCTGAGACTCATTAATCAAATTGTGGTCCAGGGCCAGCAGCATTAGCATTGGACTTAGCTTATTAGAAATGCAGACTTGCAGTCCCCTCCTGAGACCTACTGGAGCAGACTGCAGTTTAGCCCTACGAGAATTATGTGCATGTCACAGCTGGAGAATCAGGGGCTTAGACACAGCATGGCACCCATCAGAAACAAGTGATGCTGGGGAGACAGACTGGTATCATGTATTGTAAACTAGGTGTCCCTGGAGTATAGTGTATATTATGGGAGATGCTTAGAAAAGGAGAGCTCCTTTGCTGTTTTCTTCCATGTCAGAAATTTTACTTTTCTTATAAGTGTCCCGAAACAACCCCTTTAGTTGAAATTCCTTCAGTGTTGAAATAGAACTGGTGGAGTTGAATTGTTTATCAGACATCGATGGTAGGATTCAAGGTAAAATCAGCAGAAATACTTCACATTGTCCTTAGCTATTTAAGAGCAGATCAGAGCTAACTCCAAACTTCAAGATTTTGTATTTCAATTTGGAGCTGGTAAAGATGCCATTCCCAACTATTGCTGCCATATAAACATGAATTTCCTGATCTATCCACTAACCATTTTTCTACATGTTGACAATGATAAATGTAAATAGAGGTTTGTGTCATGTTAAACACTTTTGTTGTCCTTATCTATCTGAAGAGGTCTCTTTCTCTCTAATCCTCCCTCTGTCTCTATTTCTTTATTTATTTTTTCTTTCTAGTGGTAGGTTGTGACAAAGTCAATATTTATGAGGCAAAGTGTGCACTTCCCACCTTTAGCTTTCCAAGTTATCACTCATTCCAGGGGCTGCTTTGTCCCTGATCACAGCTCTTCTTTGAAATTCTATCTTACCATAAATTATTCAAACTGAGCAGAAGGGGTATTTTTGTTTTTTGAAACTGTAAAGACACAGGTTCATGTGCATAACTGAGTCATCTGTAATTTATAGTCTTCTTTTACAATTCTCTCTCTCTCCTCCCCACCCCACACACACCAGAACCATTTTCAGGAGAGAGCTAAATGACTAACCAGAGTCTGGACTGGCATGTTGTCCCAGGTCCCAGATGATGGCACCACCATGTGAAATAGCATGTGTTTGAAGACAACATTCTGGGGCACATATTTAAAAGTGATTTCTCTTCTCCAGAGGACACTTATCATTTTGTTGTTGTTGTTGTTCACTACTGAGGCAGCAAGTCCAGTAAGAAACTAGATTAGGTGAAGCATCTTCAAAGCTGATTAGACCTCGAGTAGCCTTTAGAGGGATGATGTCATCTGGGGTGTCATCTGGGGACTTCATGTGTGGCGAGTCCTGACATGTTTACATCCCACTGTGGTGAAGCAGCGGTGGGCAAAACAGGGTTCTGCTGAGCAGCCACACTTTGACACTTACAGCCATGGTCTTTAGAATGACAACAACGTCTAGAAGTGTCTAAATAAATATTAATAAAAAATCCCTAGGTCCTTCTCTTTTTTAATTACTACCAGGAGCAAATAGTGCCTCAGAATTACTTATTAACGAATGATAAAGTGTCAAACTATTTCATATTTTAGCAGCATGATAGTTTTTCCCATTTTACCATAAATAAATGGGGCTTTAAGGTTGTCAGGAAGATTTGGAATGCATAGCATGCTAGGAGATGTCTTGTTTCTGGCTGTGGTCCCCTTAAGGCGAGTTCTGTCTGGTGATTAGCATCATCTTGGATTAAATTAATTGGCTATACTCAAGCCCTGGGTAGACACGCTAAGAATAAATCCAGAGATATTAGTTCCTTCGCATGAAATGAGCAGGTTACGCATCCAGTGAAATTTATGTGAACTACACAAACAACTTAACCTAGTCTTTTTCTTTTCCTCAAGCTCTGGTAAGTACAAAACTATTTGAAATATTTCTTTGGATGAAAATAACCTCCTTTTTTTCTAGTTTTATTTAATTTTTTATTTTATAATCTAAATTACATGTCTGTGTTCTGTCCTTAACCAGTAGAAAATGTATAAATGTTCCTAATAATTATTGTCTTTTATTGCCAGCAACCTTTGCAATATGCTGATAGTGAAGAGAGAACTTCACTATTAGGAAATCAAGTTATTATAGTTTATTCAAATATGAGTAAAGCTTATGTTTTTTTTGTCATTATAAAATCACTATAGACTCAGGGTAGAAATCTGTGAAATACATTAGAGAAAAAGGAAGCTGATTGTAATTCAACAGTACTGTGATTACCACAGTGAAGAAATGGTGTGTACATCTTTCTGAACCTCCTTCTCCTAATTCCCATCCAATAGAGTTTGAAAAGTTTGTGAAATGAACTAATTTTTCTTACATCAAGTCTCTGAATTACCGTAAGAATGAATATTTTGAATGTATCAGTTTTCTATTTTGTTTTCTGAATTGCCTGATTTTCTACTATGTCGAAGAAAATTATATTTAAACACCATTAGTAAAATGGCATGTGAACTTTGTAGATCTTTATTTGTAGGTCAAGTGAGTATGAGAGCAAAGCCATAGCCCTGTAAGTAGAGGTAGCTATTTTGTTCTGAGCTGCATGGTCAAATACATTATTGATTGACACCCACCCACAAGAGCATAGACAATTATATTCATAGTTGAACACAATGAAATGAACAGTATTGGAAAATCTTAATCTTAAAAAGCAATGAAGTTATTCAGGATAGTTCCAGGGTATAACTTGAGGCAATGAAGAAACTCTGCAGAAAAAGGGGAAAGATATGGGTGGCAAGCAGTCACATCATTAGCAACAGATTTTAATGTAAATTGGGCTGGAGGCAAGAGATTTTTTTATCAACCAGCTTCCTTGCTAGGAAGCAAGTGGTAAGAAAAGTGGAGGGCTGCCAGATTATAGTTTTCTGTTGTTACCCCTTTCCGCCTCTAGTCTCCTTCAGTCTAAACTTTTGGGAAAAGAGTTTAAAGGATTTTAGGCTGCTTAGTTGGTTTGTGCCCTAGGTAGTCATTAAGCATATTACTGTCTTATCCCAAGTTCAGAGGGAAATACCTTGTCATAAAAATGTATGTGAAGAAAATTTACTTAATTCTCATTCAAATTCTGATTAGTTTTCAAAATTGATTAAGAAAGGAGCACAGTAAACACAGAATAATTTAAAGTCATGGAGGGTTGGTAACTCAGTTTCATAGAAAAGGGGATACTCGACTGCCAAGACTCAGTGACCACATCACAGGGCTTACCCCTATGTGCTGGCTAGGTGATGCTCTATTTCTGCCTTCAGAACCCAGTAGGGCATCTCCAGCTCTCTTCGCATCAGCTTTACAAGGCTTTCCTCACTCCTACTTCCAAGCCTTCAGGTGAGGTTAGACATCCCTTCTTGAATATTTTCTTGGTACTCTGACTCATCCTCAGTTTTACTCTTGAATTACCATGTGAATGTCTTGTGGACTCCACGAGATGCCTACGATTATGTCAGAGCAAAAACTGATCCACTTCCTTGGGAAATAATTTGGTTTGAACCCTCTTCCCCAATGACAGCATCATGTACAGAAAGAACATAGCTTCTTTTATTCAACAATAATATTGAATAGTCATCATGTTCCATGTTTTACACCCAAAGCCCACCTTAACATGGGTTCTTAAGTCTTACATACATGTATGCAAAATCTTGATGCTGCCTAAAACTTCCCCGAGTGACTTCTAAGAGTTTCCAAAGATTTTTTTTTACATGTGATGAAGTCATGAGAATTTGTATTTTTTTTCCCCTACAGTCTTCTTACCAAGGTGCTTGGCAACTGCCTTGCTATAGGCATTTTCTCTGCAAATGCTCCTCCATTGCTGGGCACGGGGTATCTTCCCAGGTCATGATGCCTTCAGCTCTTGCCTTTCATACATTGGGCTCAGAACTAGCTCAGGACCTGCAGCTGTGAAATAGAGACAATGGGGTTGCCTCTTGTTTCCTATTACCCTTATCTTCTATGTTTTCCCTTGTGGTCCTGGTACAAAATCTCCTTTATCATATTTTAGACAAAACCAAATACACATAAAATCCTTCAAGAGCTTTAGCATATTGGATCACACAAATATGTTTCCAGAGTGGTCACCAGGTTAACAACTCTCCAAATAGCGAATATGGGCAGGACAATAGCAACATTAAAAGCCTCAATAATAGGTAAATAGCATTTTCAAAATGAGGTGAAAATGGCGTCTCAAATACTGTTCATGTAAAATATGTTCAAACAAACATTCAAATAAACCATCTTAAAAAGTAACAGGAGGCAAAGATTTCTTTATTTTTTTTAATTTAAATACTAAAATAGTCATCCTTTAAAAATATTTTTAATTGATGCAATGGGACATTTTAATATTATGCATCCAACGTGTGATGATCAGATCGGGTTGAATGGCATATCTGTCATCTCAGACATGGATAATTTCTTTGTGTTGGAAAGTTTAGAATCCTCTCCACTAGCTCTTTTAAAATATTTAATGAATTGTCATAGTCTTCCTGGTGTGCTCTTGAACACTAGAAGTTACTCCTCCAATCCAGCCGTACCCATGTGCCTGTTAACCAGTCTCTCACCTTATTGTTGCTGAGGGCAAGGGGATTAAGCAGCAGGCTCAAAGTCAAGCCACAGTTTATTAGATGATAAGAAGAGGTTGCAGTTTTGCTGACTCCATTGCAAAGCTGGATTTCTACTGCTGCACATGCTTGCCATAGCTGCTGTTACTTTCTTAAGAAGTATAATCACTGTAAGCCTCTGGGGAAGAGAGAAGGGAAGACACCATATTTCTAAGCTGAATTTCAAATGCTTTTTGTTAAGTTACTTATAAGTAATATTTGCAACTCATTTTAGAGATATATGAAAACTCTTAAATTAGAGCTCACAAACATTTATGTTGGTTGTTTGGATAAGGCATGCAAACATGCCTTTTTCTATCCTCATAATACCAATCATATTCTGTTTGTTCAATTTGCCTTTTCGTCTAATGAGTTTTCTTACTCTGAAAAAGGCAATAATAATTAAATTGATTTAATTTATTTATAAGACAATAGAAAATACTAAAAAATTATATATATATAATTTTTTAGTATTTTCTATTGTTTATATGTGTGTGTCTGTGTGTGTGTGTGTGTGTGTGTGTGTATCCCAGAATCAGATAAATCTTCCCACAAACTGCTCATTTGGTCTAGAGTCTAGATTCACTGGGGAGTAGAAAAGGAAGACCACCATGGTTTGTTGAAAGTGTCTCTTCTTGAATTCCCTTCTGAATTTTTATTTTTAGAACCACTACTGCAAAGAAGTACCCAAATTAGACCATTTTTAGCATCCCATAGAAATGCTATCATTTAGTCAAAGAACACTTGTTTATTGCAGTATTTCCCAAGTAGTATAAGTGGTATGTCAGATGATTTGTTTGCATTTTCTCTAATCAGCCACGGAAACATCTGGTAGTATCATAATATGGCCCTTATTTAAGGATCTATGGGATACATTCCTCCTAGGACTTAAAGTAAGGTACATATTCCTCCAGATAAACTCATCTGGTTCCACCCCACAAACAGTAAGAACTTTAAAACCTTTTCCTGTCTTTGCTTCCCCTTTTCTCGACTGCCAGGACATTCAGGACTAAATTGATCAATTACAAAATTTGAATTTTTTTCATTGGATAATTTCCAATTTTTTTCCTCCTTTTGTGATTTTTTAAAAAGTTGTGCAATAATACTTGTTGAATTTACTTTTGCTCACAAAGTTTAGCAATGTATATATAATAAAACACAAATAGGATTGGGATGTAGCACAGTCCACTTGCTTAGCATGTACTATGTCCTGGGTTCAATGTGCAGCACTGAAAAACAAAAACACAAATACAAATAATATCCATAGCTGTGCCATCCCAAGATAACTGGTCTATATATTATTTCTAGACTTTCCCTTATTTCTATAAGAAATATGTTTACGTAGAAATCAATGTCCTAGCATATGTGTCTTACAAATTGCTTTTTCATTTAGCTGTATGTCATGATCATCTTTCTGTGCCACCAAATACATATCTATAAAGCAACTTTTAATGGTTGTATAGTTTTCTATTACATGGGTGTACACATCATAAATTTATTGACCTAGGCGCTTATATCTGTAGATTGTTTTATTTGCAAATTATAAATGTTTTAATTTAACTGTTTCATTTGTATCTTTTAAAATTTTAGGATAGACCCCTAAAATTATCTTTTAAAATGGATGGGTAGAATGAATGAATGAATGAATGAATGAATAAAATCCCAGGAATATCCTGAATGTCTGTGACTATAATTAGCCTGCATTAGCATTATCATGTATTTTTCACAGTGGTGCTGTTAATTCTGGAACTTTTTTTTTTTCCTCTCTCACTAGGTCTCAATCAAAATGAGTGAGACTCCTTCCACTGGTTTTTCCATGATTCATCCGAGTTCTTCTGAAGGTCAAGTTCGTTCTCCTCGCCACTTACGCATCACTCATCCTGTTGTGGCCAAACGGATCAGCTTCTATAAGAGCGGAGACCCCCAATTCCGCGGAGTCAGAGTGGTGGTCAACCCTCGTTCCTTTAAGAGCTTTGATGCTTTGCTGGACAACTTGTCCAGGAAGGTGCCCCTGCCTTTTGGAGTGAGGAACATCAGCACGCCTCGGGGAAGGCACAGCATCACGAGGCTGGAGGAACTGGAGGACGGTGAGTCCTACCTGTGCTCCCACAGTAGGAAGGTGCAGCCTGTGGACCTGGACAAGGCTCGCCAGCTCCCGCGGCCGTGGCTCAGCAGCCGCACCCCGGGGGCGCAGGCACAGGGTCACCCGGTGGTGGCCGCAGCTCCGGGCTTGCTGCGTGCCCCCAGGCGCCTAGTGGTTTTCCGGAATGGAGATCCGAAGACCAGGTGCGCCGTCCTTCTGAACAGGAGGGTCACACAGAGCTTCGAGGCCTTTCTGCAGCACCTGACAGTGGTCATGAAGTACCCGGTTGCCAAACTGTACGCCACGGATGGAAGGAAGGTGAGCGTCCAGGCTGGGGGTCTCCACGAGGCTGAGCAGGCATCAGGAGCCTGCGGGGGTTTGAGCTGAATATGCATGGCAGCCTTCTGCAAAGAAGGCCTCGCTCTTCTCTGTGTGTGTGTGTTTAAATTCTGTGCGTTTGTGGATGGTGTCTTTGCTTTCTTGTCAGAATCTGCAGAGGCATTGGGCTCGAGGTTCTCTTTTTACTCCATGCGTTCCTTGAGTTATAAGGCTGTGGGACAGAATCAATTATTGATAATTCTTGGATGAGAATGGCATGGATAGTGTTCTTCTAGCTAGGGAAAGCATTTTTTTTTTTTCTGTTTGCGGTCAGCAGCAGACAGCATGTCCACAAGAGTTCACTTTCCTGACCAGCTATGTCCACCAGACCGTTTCCCAGCTTGCCCTGCAGCTGCAGACTTCGGTGTGGAGTGACATATACATTTTAAAGATTTTTTTAATTATGCCAGAAGACCAGCCTGTCTTTCCAGTTAACATGTAGGCTTAATAGACTTCTTGGGTCTGTATTAGTCACCCCTACCCTTAGTGTTCTGTATTTCCAGTTATTTTATATACATCATTTTACATCATTTTTTTGCTTAAGAAAATGCTTGATGTTGTCTTTCAAACCTGAGAGGTTATTGCATTGATTTCAAGTTATAAAATTATTTCATGGAAGAAGAAAACCTGCTTGTGTAAGGACCACGACTCTGTTTTTTTCTAGGTTCCCAGTCTCCAGGCAGTGATCCTGAGCTCTGGAGCTGTGGTGGCAGCAGGAAGGGAGCCCTTCAAACCAGGGAATTATGACATCCAAAAGTACTTGCTTCCTGCTAGATTACCAGGGATCTCCCATCGTGTGCATCGGAAGGGAAATGCTAAATCAGAAAGCAGAAAGAGTAAGTCACTTACACAGAATAGGCCTTATTTTTAGTCCTGACAACTTTTGTCTCAAGAGCAAAAAGAGACATGCTTACTAAATGACCAACTTCATTTATCACAGTAAATAAAACATAAGAGGATTAAAACCACTCTAAAATGAAATTGGTTTTATTTTTAGTTGGAAAGAGTACAGAGATTATCTGGTAATTTAAAAAAGACTTTTCCAAATCAATGATATATCTGTGTAAACTGATGAAGTATGCTTTATTTGTTTTATATTTTTGCATAAAATACCTAGTTAAATCAAAATGTCAGACTTTATTGCTCTAGAAATGAATTTTATGGAATCTGTATAACATTTCTGGTAGTTGCTGAGTTTTCCCTAAATGGTCTCATGCAGCTTTCATAGCAGAGTTTAGCAGGTTAGTGCAGTGACTATATTTTTTTTTGTAATCTATCTGTATGTTCTACCTTCTTGAGTTATACCTGTAAAAACTATAGGTCTTTAGAACCACTTTTTATTTATTACAAAAGTTTCATGCTGACAAATCTTTCTGGTTGACAGTAATCTGGGTAGTTGATTCCTTAGGATCTTTTGCATGGTGTGACATTATCCTTTGTATAGGAGAGAAGAAGGACCTCTTAAGGCTTGGGGTGTCGGGTACATTAATCTCTTTCTTCATTGTGCTCAATATATCCAGGGAAATTTTAGCTCTATGCTAATATACTTATTGCCATTTATACTTTGATTTTAATTTTCATTGCTTTTAGATGCAGAATAAGACATACTATGCATTTTAAGAGGTACTAATCCCTCTACTTACTGCTAATGTGGAGAAAACTCATTTATTGTCATTTAATCATTTCATGGGTATCATATCTTATCAATGAAAGAATGGATAAGCAATCGATAAGCTTACAATCATTAATAGGTCATTGTTAATGCTTCTTTTTTGTAAGCATTAGGCTGCCAGAAATGTTATGTATATTGTAGTACTATTCCACCTTGGTCATTTTACTGATGTAGTTTTATTGCTTTATGTCTGATATTGGCTGCTGATTATGATTTTTAATTTTTGATGACTTCAGGGAATCTGAGGGCTTTGCTACATTTCACTTCAAAAAATTAATAGTGAGACATTTTCATTTATGAATTTAGTAAAAGTATATCAAAAATAAAAATATTTTTGGATTTATACTCTGAAACACTAAAGATGAACACTTGGTTGTATTCTATATTCTGTAAGCATGTGCACATATATATAGACTACTAATAGGAATTTGATTGCATTGAAGAAGCAGGAGCACCAAGGTTAATTATAAAAAAAACTTTAAAAATAATATCATGACTGATGTGATTCTGCAACATGTACAATCAGAAAAATGAGAAATTATACCCCACTTACGTATAATATATACAGCATTCTACTATCATATATAACTAATTAAAACAAATAAAAAAATAATATTGGACTTGTGTCTTACTGTTCTTTTTTGTACCATGTAGTAAATCAACTGCAATGACTATACAAAGTGAATATTAAATTTATTATTTGATTAATTCAGTCTTAAATGCTAAAAATGTTTTCTGCCTTCCTAAAGCTATAGGTGTCTGTCTTGCATATACACAGATAGGTTACTACTGTTACTTGTTTAAATTGATAAGCATTTCTTGATAAGCTGACAGTTTTACTAACTGTAAAATCACGAAAGCCCTTCATTTCAATAGAGTCCTTAGTAATTTCTACTTTATTAAATTACCTCATAAATTTGTTTAAATTAAAACTATGTGAATCTTCTCATTGAAGTAGATTTATAAGTTTCTTTTAAGAGTAATTTGAAGAAATGTATGAGATATTACATTGTTTTCTCAAATAACCATTGAACATAGAGATTAGAAACATATCAGTATTATTTTACTGTGAAATACAGAAAATATGGTATTTTTGTACTAATATTTTCCTTTTTCTTCTTCTTTTCTTTGCTGCCTCCTCCATTGGATATTATAACTTCTCTACCTTTCATGTTATATTTTGATGTGGGCATCTTTTACTCTTAAAATCTTGAAAGTGAGCACACATATGTCTTCGATCCCAAGATCCCAGATTTATTCTGTTTCTTCTGACAAAACACATACTATTGACTGCTGCTCAGACTATTCTTTTGCTCCTAAAAACTACTTGGCCTTAGAAAAACATGGTTCTCAGAACTTATCGATATATCCTTCTGAAGACGATATTGAGAAATCAATTATTTTTAATCAAGATGGTACTATGACAGTTGAGATGAAAGTTAGATTCAAGATAAAAGAAGAAACCATTAAGTGGATCACCACTGTCAATACATCTGATCTTTCTAATAATGACGAAAAGAGTGAGGTAAGTTGTTTTCCTGGAAGAACAGATCCTCCATCACCTAGTTTCAAGTTTGCAGCGTGTTCAATGTCTGCAGATGCTAAAGGCAATAATCAAGAGGCCAGTTTAGCAGAAGAAATAAACACTCAAATGACAGTTCAAGAGGCTGAAACTTGCAGTTTTGCTAGTTGGGAGAATGCTGCTTTGGACACAGGTAACATCCATGGAACTCAGAATCAAGTGAAGCATCGTTTTTATAGACCACCTACACCTGGACCAAGGAGAGCAAGACAAAAGAAATCAGTGATGGGGAGTGTGACCCTAGTATCTGAAACAGAAGTTCAAGAGAAACAGTTTTCCTATAGTGAAGAAAGGGAAGGTGGGAAAAACAAATCTGAATATCACATGTTCACACATTCTTGCAGTAAAATGTCATCCGTATCCAACAAACCAGTATTTGTTCAGAACAATCAGAATGAGCAGATGGAGTCATCTTTAGAAAGAGAAAAGGAAAGTAGACTCCCCAAATCAAGAGCAATAGGTGCTGGTATTGTAGAAATTACAGGTCAGAAGATGGTAAAGATGTCCCATAATAGTGGCTTATCATCATCTACATCAGAGAACTCCACTGTGGAAGAAAGTACAGTTAATAGTGTAATACCAGACAACAAAACTGATATCAAGAACTTAAGAACTTACAATAGCACCAGTGATACGTTCAGTCCTAATTCAGCAGATGTAGCGAGCTCTACAAGTAACAATTCTGGGACTGACAGAAGTATTTCTGAGGCCACAGTTTCCGTAGGGTCTTCTACTGTCACCACAAGAATCGACAGATTAACTGATGAATTTTCTCAGCGTGGTTTAACAGAACTGCCAGAAAATCAAAAGCAGACTGTACTATCTGTTTCCCGAAAAAAGAAGAAGAAAGTTCAGCCGCAAGTAATAAGTTCCAGGTATCAAGATGCGGTAATTGCCACCAAAGAAATCTCCAAAAAGAGTAAGAGAATAAATACAGGAGATAGAATTGCAGAAGCCACCGTGTTGAAAGGTTCACACCGTCCCCTTAAAGGAGGGACACTCTGTGAGGAAGACCCCCATACAAGTGATATGGTAATCAAATCAAATCATTTTTATTCCAAAAGTATTCTCCATCCCACAATTTCTAAGAATTTCCATAGAAATAAATTAAATACTATTCAAAACCCTAAGGTTCAAGGACTTTTAATCAAAAGAAAATCCAGGCTACTGAAGAGATCAAGTTTAGGAACACCCCAAAAAAGAGAGATTGGTCAGGGAGATAAAGTACTAGCCCATAACGAATCTAAATATTACAAAAGCACTTTAAAAAATCAAAGATCATTTCATGTGTTTAATCACACTGAACAAACATCAAACATTTTTTGTGATCCAGAGTCTCAAGCAGAAATAGCATCTGGGAATTTGAGAGGAATGGCCAAAAAGAGTTTATTTCCAAAAATTAATGATTCACACATAATTTCAAAAAGCCCCCCCAAACGGAAAGGGGTTAAATTGAAATCAGGTGCTATTGTAAATAAGCACCATGCTAGAGCTAGGACCAATTCTTTAGCTTCTTTGAAAAAGGCTGATTTCCTTGAGGATATTGCCCATAATTCGGTTCATAATTATATACAGAGATGGTTGCAGAACATAAATCCATATCCAACTTTAGAACCTGGAATGTCAGCTCCACTATGCAAAAATGAAAGGAGAGTGGCACATTATAATCATGGCAGTTCTCCAGGAAATCATCCCCACACAAATATTGCAAAAGGAAATGATTTTGTCCTGCAAAGTAGTAAGCACATGACTAAAAATGCCAGTTTGACAGGAGATAATCTCTGTAAAGAGGCAGGTGAATCTCCTATTGCCAAAGATGACGGTGAAGAACCTAAAGATCTCGATGAGAGTCAGGTTGGATCTGTGAATGGCGCCCACTTGGTTTCACTGCACAAATATGGTACATTGTCAAAACCAGCTGTCAATGACCCTAAGACTAAAAGCCAGATATCTGCTGAAAAGTCTTGTTTGCCAGAAGTGAGCCTTGTTTGCCAGGGAATAAACCTAGCTAAGAAAGCACAAAGTGTAGAGGTTGCCATCCAAGTAGATCCTATGGAAGAGAGCAGTCCCAAAGACCTCTTATCAGTCCTGTTGCTTCGCCAATTCCAAGCTCCAGCTGCGGGTGTCCACAAGCCTCAGAATGGAGTCGTTCAGATGCCAGGTTCACTTGCAGATGTTTCTTTCCCTTCTTCCCTGTGTAATTCATCCACTAACCTTCTTCTAGCTTGGCTGTTGGTGCTAAACCTAAAGGGAGGTATCACTAGCTTCTGTCAAGGGGATGCTCACAAGATCACCAGCCGATCTTCAGAGACACTTGCCCTGTTGGAAGTTCTAAAGCACGTTGCCGTCACAGAGGAAGCTGATGAGTTGAAGGCTGCGGTTGCCAATTTAGTGGAAGCCACCAAACGTTGCCCTGGACCCAGTGGGGAAGAACCGGCTAGGGTTCCGGTAGGTCTGTCTGCAGATTGTGTCACAGCCAACGTTCAGAGAGTTTCTGCCTGCAGTGGAACTGGAAGAACCCTGAAAATCTCTTTGGAGAGAGATTTTCAGGGTTCTACCAATGAGCTCTGTGATTCTGAGGT